GGTTCCCATGAAGGTTTATGCTCCTATTGGTTGTGATTCTCTGCATTCACCTGTCGACCTCTCCAATTTCGTGGGCAGTGGTTTGCCCTATGACCTCACTTTTCTTACAGATCTAAGAAGAGTTGTTGACTTTTCATTTTGTTCTGCTTTTTACTTGTTAGGAAGGAAAAGTGACTTCTAAGCTCCTTACCTGCCAGATCAGAAACTAGAAGCACTTTGAAAAAAAATTAAATAATGATATTGTGCTAAAACAAGGTTAACAGGAAAAATCAAGATCTACACTCTATAAATGTAAATCTAAGATATTTGAACCAAAAATAAAAGGAAAAAGATAAAGGGTCACTTCATACTCTCTACATGAGCTCTACCTATATAGTCTTGTCTAAGTGTAAATCACATTGTCTTTTCCTAAAGCCCAATTTTAAAATAACTAATGCATTTAAAACCTGGTAACTAGATTTTGGTCTTGAAAAGAACTAAGAATTAAAAGAACTAAGGGTTTAAAAACAACTAAGAACTCTTGGAGAATGATGGATTCCATTTCCTAGAGATAAAAAAGAAAGAAAAAAAATTCAAAGTGAGTCTCAATCATCTTGTTCCAAGAATAAAGGATTTTTAAAAGGCTTTAAAGAGTTCTGGAGGGCCTGCCCCGGTGGCCTAGTGGTTAAGTTTGGCACGTTCCACTTCAATGGCCCGGTTCGGTTCCTGGGCAAGGACCTACACCACTCGCCAGTGGCCATGCTGTAGTGGCGGCTCACATACAAAAAGAGGAAGATTGGCAACTGATGTTAGCTCAGGGAAAATCTTCCTCAGCAAAAAAAAAAGTTCTGGAACGGTATTAAAAAATCATAAATCAGAGCTGGCCCCGTGGCTTAGCTGTTAAGTGTGTGTGCTCTGCTACTGGCGGCCTGGGGTTCGGATCCTGGGCCCGCACCGACACACTGCTTCTCCGGCCATGCTGAGGCAGCGTCCCACATACAGCAACTAGAAGGGTGTGCAACTATGACATACAACTATCTACTGGGACTTTGGGGAGAAAAAGGGGAAAAAAAAAAAAAGGAGGATTGGCAATAGATGTTAGCTCAGGGCTGATCTTCCTCACACACACACACAAAAAAATTTTAAAAAAATCATAAATCAACGTTTCCCAATGGCCAAACGTGACCATGAAAAATAAACAAAATTACACTTAGTTAATTTTAGGTTAAGAATAATGAATCAGATTTAATTTTTGTTTCATAATGTACATTTTCACTCCCTAAGAGCCTCACACTATGTAAGGAGAAAATAAGGACCCTCCTCTACTCTAGAGCTTGTTTTTAAAGTTTTACTTTAATTTTGTAGTATTTGTTACATACAAAATAATACAGATATTTTTATATGTAAGTTATGAACCATAAGATGAATAAGTATAAACCCATCATCCAAAATTAGACACAGAAAAAAATAACTTGGAAACTCCTTTGATGCTCTCTGATAGCATGCTTTGATGTAATGGACTGAATCAAACACAAGTGACTTGGGATGTTCTGGGTTATCCTAGAGATCCAGCCAATAAGACCTGGACCTCCTATCTCCCAGCGGAAAGGGCTACACCTGAACGCAGTTTGCCATGGTACTGATAGTTTCTTTCTTCCAATTAAAACTTTCCACGTGAGTTAAGGTCTTTAGATACCAGGTAGCTGGCTTTCTCAGACAAGTCTTATAAACAGTTTGCACCTAAACCGAGACTGCCTGGTGCCCCAGTAGTTTCCCTACTGACAAAGGTTCTTTCATGTTTGCCCTAGAAGAAGTTGAGAGCAACAAGGGGATGAAATTCCTCTCCTGTAATGCAAACCCAACACTGCAGATCCACCATAGTGCTCTGGGCCCAGTGCGATTCTCCTTGGGATGATGGGAGAATGGGGAAATCTGTGTTTTTTCTTGGCTTTGTAAACTTCTCCTTTCCCCAGTAAAACTTATCCCATAACCTAGTGGTTCTCAAACTTTGGTGTGCATTGGAATTAGCTAGTGGGCTTGTTAAAACACAGATTTCTAGGCCCTACTTCCAGAATTTCTGGTTCAGTAGGTCTGGAGTGTGGTCTGGGAATTTGCATTTCTACCACGTCCCAGATGATGCTGATGTTGTGGTCAGGGGATCAAACGCTGAGAATCTCTGTCTTAACTCACGTAGTGTGTCTGTAGAAATCAGCTCCGTCGGCTACCACAAAGGGTCTTACTTGCATGACCTTCACCTAGGAGTTAGCCATTATCCTTTCTTATGTCTTACTTTCCTTTTTAGTTTCAGCACATATGTAGGAATCCTTAACCAACAGATTTAGTTTTCATTGTTTTAAAGTTTTATAAAAATGGCATTATTCCTTAAAGGTCTTATATGACTTGCTTTTTTTTTCACTCATCCATTCAGTGTATAGCTATAATTAATTCACTTTTACTGTTGTATGATATTCCTTTGTGTGAATTCACCTGTTGATAGACATCTGGTTTGTTTTCAGGTTTTTGCTAGGAAGCTGCTATGAACAGCTACTTTTTTACCCCATCATAGAATTACCCTCTCTTTATGAAAGGACCCCATCTAGAGGCAACTCTCCCTCCCTTAGACCTTCCTCCAAATTCTAACACCCTCTTACTGAGACACCCAATGGTGTGTATTCTCCTTTGCTCAATGAGTAATGAACTCAACTTGTTCAACTACAGGTGTCCCTGTGGTCTTTGGTTGAAGGGCACTGACTATATATATATATATATACACACATACATATATCTTAATATCTTTTATTGTGCCTTTTGGTTGACACCCGTTCTTAATTTTAGTTCAGGTTTTCAATCTTTTACCTTTATGGTTAGTGCTTTTTATGTCATATTTAATAAATCCTTTCTTATTTATCCTATTTCATATTTAATATCCTATCTCATATTTAATAAATCCAAGATCATACATATATATTTTTTGCTTCAAACTTTTATGTCTTCAGTTCATCTGAAATTCATTTCTGTGTGTGACACCATACACATGTACAGATCCAATCTCATTTTTTCCCATATAACCACTTCTATTAGCACCAATGTATTCAATAGTCATTCCTTTCTTTGCTTTTCCCCACTTATGTGCCAGGGCCACCTTTGCCATCAAATTCTATCTATATCCATGGCTTAGATTAGAGCTTTTTTGTTTTTTAAATATAGATTAAGAAATACAGATTAAGACTTGATTGAATTAGTTTCAAGGCTTGTGAAACGGTTTATATAAGTACACAAATCATGAGACAATGCAAAAAAATTAATGATGTTTTAAATTGGTATCAGTTGATGTAATGATTCAGTAATAAAACATCAAGTATTTTTTAAAGATATAATTCATTCAGGCTGCAAAAACTTTAGTAAGACTATGTAGTCAGGAGAACATTTTCACTGCAGAGGTGTGTATGCACTTAACCAAGTGATTACTAACAGATTTTCCTGAAACCCCAAAACACAAAATATCCTTTTTATTATCTTCGATACATACATTATATCGCTTGTGTTTTTATGGCAGATCTAGACTTTAAAATTTTATATAAAAGGAATGCATAAACCCTGTCTTTTGAAGACACAGGAGAGTTTGAAACAAAACAGTAATAGAAACAAAGTAGTAATGGAACCAAAGGGGGTAAAATGCCAAAAGCAATTAGGAGGAGACGGAAAAGTCTAAGATGGCTTCCAGTATGCAAAGTTACAAAACCTTGAGATAGATGATGAACTGCTAACAAAATTGGGTAAGGTAGTGAGCGGTGGCCTATTTGGGGGAAAAGATGATTTTTTTTCCCTTCTGTCTACAGGTCCTATTATTTCCTCAAGGAAGTTTTCAGGAGCTTTGAAATTGGTGTTAATGGCCTCCAAAAGTAAAAAGTTCAAAATCCAAATCCCTAGATGGCAAGTAGTTTGTAGATGCTTAATTTTCATGTAAACTCATTGTGGTGGTTTATTTATTTATTTTTTGTGAGGAAGATTGGCCCTGAGCTAACATCTGCCAATCCTCCTCTTTTTGCTGAGGAAGACTGGCCCTAGGCTAACATCCGTGCCCATCATCCTCCACTTTACATGGGACGCGGCCACAGCATGGCTTGCCAAGCAGTGCGTCAGTGCACGCCTGGGATCCGAACCAGGGAACCCCGGGCCACCACAGCGGAGCGCCGGCACTTAACCGCTTGCGCCACCCCTCCGGCCCCTGGTGGTTTATTTTTTAACATCAAATTCCGGTAAACTGCGTCTACAGAAAGCGGCCCTGGGAAAGAACATCCGAACGGGAGTTAAGAGATCAGGATTTTAATCACAGGTCTGCCACTAATTTATGTGACAATGGGCTTAAGTGTCTGGGTCTCAGATTCCTTAAATATGTAGGATAAGACTACGTGATCTTCACATCTCCTTACAGCGCTAAAGTTCTAAGTCTCCATCAGCAATTGTAAAACGTATCCGTGTAAATCCACCTGATCCTACAGTTGACTTGCAGCCAAACATTTGTCAGGTGAGTCAAAGCGTCGTTTCTCTCCAATTCTCAAACCACAGAGCGAACGTTAGGGTTGATAGGATTTGAAGGACTACTACAGTACAGACAGGTTTCCAGGCAAGGATGTCTGCATGACTAGCATATTTCCAAAACAGGAACACCAAAGGGTGCTAACCTTCACAGCCTCTAGCAGAACAAAAGGCCAGGGCTTGCAATGGCGCGGGGACGTCGCACCTGCTTCTCACGGGTCACGCTTTTCTACCCCGTAAGCCACGTCCCTTTTTTTGCATTCTCACACGTGAAGCTCTTTTCTTGCTTAAGCAGATGTGGGCCAACTTCTTCGGAGATTCGCTCAGACCGGAGGAAAGGGACAAGACCCTCGACAGCGGTCTACCTGTTGCCCAGGGGGCCCAGGCAGTTGCGAGAGGAGCCCGCGGGGCTGTCCCAGGGGCGCCGCAGCCCCGCCTGACCCGGAAGGGCTGACGCGTGGTAACCCCGGCTTCCCTAGCAACGGAGCGGGTGCCGGGCCTCGCCCGCCGCGCCGTGCGCTCCCGCCGACTCCCGGGATGCCCCTGCAGGTTAGCGACTACAGCTGGCAGCAGACGAAGGTTGCGGTCTTTATCTCCGTGCCTCTCCGAGGCGTCTGCGTCAGAGACGCGGACGTGTTCTGCACGGAAAACTATCTGAAGGTAGGAACGCCAGTCGTGCCTGCCGGGTCCCGGGGCTGTGCTCCGAAGCGAAGGCGAGCGCGCTGCTCTGGGCACGCGACAGGCGCGTCCTTGCAGATAGGCGTCCTAAGATTGTCTTACTTAAGAAGCAAACAACAACAAAAAACCGAATCCTATACAGGTGACACCTCATCTATAGACAAATATCATCAAATCAGAGAATATTTTTATATAATTATATATATAATATAATATAAATTATATAATATATACTATAATAATTATTTTTATAGTCTCAGGTCGTCCTCATATGCCTTGCTAATCTTTCGCGACCTGGAATAAATTTATAGCAGGCATTTAAGAAAATGATTTTTGCCTCTATCACTTATTTCTTAACAGCTTTGCCTTTAATTTGTGTAACTAAATTAACTTCCGTTTCCCCCCTTCTGAATAGGTCAACTGTCCTCCATTTTTATTTGAAGTGTTTCTCTATGCTCCCATAGACGATGAGAGCAGCAAAGCCAAGATTGGGAATGACGCTATTGTTTTCACTTTATATAAAAAAGAAGCGGCCATGTGGGAGACCCTTTCTATGTCAGGTGGTAAGTTCTTTATTAAAAGATGTTCATCTGGTTGTGCTTTTTATATTTGATACCTTTTTAAAAATTCTCTTTTGAAACAATTATGTTGCTCTTCAAGGAAAAAAAATAGGCACATGAGCATGATCTACATTAGTGCTTCAGCTGCCACTTAACCTAAAGATTGAATTGTTTGAAAGTTAGAGCACATTGATAATAGCTCTTTTTTTTTTTTTTTTTTTAAATTTTAT